GGGGACAGGGAAATACCCTTGATTGTCGATACCAGGTGAGTAGAATTTTGTACCGCGGAGGTGGTTTTTCCAGTGAAAGGCCGCAGGTTTTCAGACAGAAAACGAGCCAGTTTGTAGGTGGGGGAGTTGATCGTAGAGACGATGGAACGAAGGGGTGTATCTACTTTATGTGTTTTTGGTAAGCCGTATAATCTTGGTGGCCTGGCAGCAGAAGGTTTCAACGAGAACTGTTCCGTTTGATCAATTAATGCGGTTGAATCAGAAATGATTTTGTTGTTTTTTATGACGAGGCTGTTGGTGGGATCTCTTTTTATTTTTGTATAGCTGCCATCGTTGAGTAATTCTTGAATTTTGTTGTTACATTCTATTTTATCCATGATGACAGTGGCATTGCCCTTGTCGCCTGAGAGGATGACAATGTCATCCCTCTTTTTTAATTTATATAATTCAAAACGCTCATCTTTGCTGAGGTTGCTAGCTGGCATCTTAGCTTTTTTGAGGGTTGCAGCGATTTCAGATCTTGCTACATCTGCAGCGATGTGACCCAGGCCCTTGAGAGCCACGTCTACTTGGGCAATGATATAATTAACTGGTATGTGTTTAGGTGTGACTGCAAGGTTTAGCCCTGGCTACTATCAAAGGTTTGTTCATGAAGCCATCCAGATATATAAACATAGACATAACTTCAACCGAGAAGATGGATACAAATTGAGCAATCATTGGAAGGATGCTATCAACCAGGTAAAACCTTAACTGCTTTATTGTTTGCTCTCATATCCGCATCTCCAGTCTCTTACACCCAGCCCTGCTTAGTCCCATCATTTAGAAGTTTGCCTTACATGCTCCATGTACCGCCCCCTGCTCTTCAGGCTATTGACCTTCAATGTATCATTTGCCCCCTTTCCCCTCCACCCTCCCTATCCTTGGCTCTGCCCCCCCCCCTCACCTATATAACCCCCCTGGTAATCGCAGCTCTTTTGCCTATTTCAGCAACTGTTTTTTGCTGTGATTGTTCCCACCTGATGATGGACGCTTGTGTTGCATCCGAAACGTCGCAATTTAATTTACTTTCATTTATATTTTTCATTTTTACTTGTATTTTTGACCTACGTGACTTTACCGAAAGAACCAAAGAGTATGGATCCTTGCAATCACGTAAACTTCAAATCTAGAATGCAATATATGCATTGTGTAAGGTTGGGTCATCAGTGCTGTCGTGTGCTGGTGGCGCTGAGGATATGTTGTCCGTAGTTTTTTATGCTCGGCTATAATGATAGGTGATTTTTATAGATACGGTCAATGGTGCTTTGACATGTTCTGCATTTAAACTCGGTGGGCATTGGTGTGCGGCCTGCATATGGGTTGCTGAAGATCTGTAGTCTATAAAACAGTGGCTGCATGGTGAGTTACTTGCTTTGACCAAGGCATGGATAATCCCAGAAATACGTCTCGGGGGGGATGTTAATTGTAGTCACTTCCCTTGACCGATCGCTCGACAATGATTCAAGCTCTCTCAAGTCTGTCTGGTCATTTAAAGTTTCTTGCGACATACATTATCTTACGGTATGGTATGCATCCCAAAGGTATTTAGTTTTCTTACCAAATGGAAAACCTATCTAGCCTTGTTATTCGTTTGGCAAACGCATACACAATATATGCTCATGCCTGGACCGTGCGCTTTTTGTCAAATCGATCATTACAGCCTCTTCTACACAAGTCATTTTCCCACCTCCTTGGGGAAGACTAGTCTCGTTTTAGAGAGGGCTCGGAGGAAAAGGGGTGGCCTTTTAACGAGAATTGTACCAGAATTTGTACAAATATCTTGAAAGTGCCTTTGACCCATTTGACACTCAATGAAGGATGTGAAGGCTGCACACGCACACCCATGGCTACACGGTTGTACTGACGTGAGCATGGATCTGACCAACCCGTTCTATCGTACTGCTGCATTGGACATTCTGTGGAGGTGCTCCGGGTGAGTACTCGCTTTGCCGAAGATCCGCGTGCTGAGCAGCATACTGCTGTTCGTGTTGTGCTGCTCAACACGGGCATGGCGTTCTGCTCCACTGCCAAGAAAATCCGGACTGTGAATCACCAGCTCGTGGCCAGCCCTCAAACATTGGGACGATGTGATGAAGTTCAGTTAGTGTCGACCAGAATTTGGATGAAAGAACTCTGAAGATCAATGTGCTGGCCAGCATACCAGCTTGAGCTTTAATACCTGAAATTGTTGGTTGGTGTGTATACCTCTTCTGGGTTCTTTCAATGAATCCCTGCAGCCACGAAAGCTTTAAATCGAAATTGGTGTGTATACATTTTTAGTAATGCAAGCATTATGTTAATATTGACTACATCAGCATGCAATGTGTGGTGAAATGCTGCTGAACTCCATGTACCTAATGGGCTGACTGCCTGGTGTGCGATAACATATGTCACAAGTAATTTAAGTAAAACACTGGCCAGACATAACGGAAACGATATGATCTGTCTTGTGAGCAATTGAACCTTATGTCGGGTTCCCGGGGTTTCCGAATAAACGGAAGTCAAAATCGTAATTGATTAATTTTTGGCGACTTTGTCCCACCGCGCACAAACGCCGTGACCCACCTGGCGTGGATCATTCTGTTATGTCGTCAAAGCGCAGCGAGCACGAATGCGCAAAAGAAACAAAACTTTGAAACTTTGATTAGCGCATCCTGTAGAGCTCATCGAGAGGAATAGATTGCCATATCGTTCACCTTCAACAGACATAAAATTACTTCGCAACATAGTTTATGCGAGAGCCGGGGGCTTATGGGACCCCAGGGTCCCGCCATAAGGTCCAATTGTACAAGTATATATGGGATTATCTATGCCTTGGCAAGTGCACGCCATTCAGCCTTTATTTTATAGATCACAGATCTTGGCCAGCCCATAAAATATTTTTCAGAATCAGAAATAATTTATACTGGAGGAATCTGAGCTTGAAAGTGTTTTTTTTGCATGAGCCAATAACTGTTTCTTGGCCCACCTGCTGCCGTGGTCATATTTGGTCCCGTCCAAACGTGGTTGCTAGACCGGGGGCGGGCCATCGTGTCCAAATTCAGAAGCTTTTTGTGGTGGTCTTCTCCAGGTTGAAGCTTTAGAGTTTTTCTCTCAACCACTCTGGTGGTATCGTGAGAGGCATTGTTGGTTGAATCCCAGCATGATGTCATTATTGCTGATGCCACCCATGCAAGTAAATTGGCTAAAATATTTTCAAGCCTGAGCCCACTCCAAGGCCTGACAAGAAAATGTGACAAGATATGCTCTTCGCTACTGTCATATAATTCCGATGATAGCCGTGACCTGGAGTGTGCTTAATAGTCCAGTTTTATAATTGCGGTATTGTCTTTTCACGATAAATGTATTGTACAGTAGTGCTGTTTGATATTTGAGAGGTATTTTAAATATTACCCAACACCTGCAGTACTATCGTGAGGTGTGGCGCACAAGGGTGCTAGTTTACTCCTCTCGACTCCACTTTCCCACCGCCCTTCTCACTCTGCCTTTGTCTGTCGCACTTTCACAATTTTTTTTACAATTACATAAGTTAATTTTGCCTTCAACGGTTCCACATTGTTACTGTAATGGAAAGAATTTAAATATGCGTGATATAATAAACAACCATCTTCTTGGTTCTTTTGGTAAAGTCACGTAGAAGGGAAATAATACAATAAAACATAATAAAATAAAATTCTTAAGACGTTTCGGCCACAACACAAGTAGCATTCCTCAGGTGAAGAAACAGAACTGTCAGAAAGACAGCGCTGTCTTTCTGACAGTTCTGTTTCTTCATCTGAGGAAGGCTACTTGTGTTGTGGCCGAAACGTCGTGAGATTTTTATTTTATTATTTCCCTTCTACATTACTTTGCCAAAAGAACCAAGAAGATGAATCCCTGCAGTCACGAAAGCTTAACATCGAAATTTAATAAACAACCATTTAAGAGATGATTTAACCAACTCTGTACCTTGAATATCTTCACTTTGCGATGTGCACTTCCCGAGAGCATGTGTGTAGAGAATGACATGAGCCGTACCTCATTCACTCTTCAGTGACCTGAATGTAGCTCTGTATAGTTCTCACTTTCATCTTCCAAACTCTAACCTTAAATGAGAATTGGTGTTCTCCTTTTTTCCTGGCAACAAAACAGGTGTTATGATATAAACCTTAAGATGCGTGCGGCCGACCTGAAATTTGAACCACAGACGTGTCACCTCCAAAAATCGGTTCGATATTTGGGTCACATAGTGAGCAAATCGGGTATCGCTACGGACCCGGAGAAGACGGCGTGTGTCCGCACGTGGCCGACACCCACCTCGGCGGGCGAGGTACGCAGTTTTATCTGCTTTGCTTCGTATTATTGCTGATTTGTCGCCGGCTTTGCATCCATTGCTAAACCTCTCCACGCCTTGACTGCTAAGCGGCAAAAATTTCATTGGGGGGAGGAGGAGGAAGCCGCGTTCCGCTCCATTCGCGATTGGCTGGTCAACGTTCCTCCCCTGCGTTATCCCGATTTTTCATTACCGTTCGTTTTGGATACGGACGCCAGTAATACCGGTATTGGAGCGGTATTATCTCAAGTTGTCAACGGCGTGGAGCACGTGGTCGCTTATGGGAGCAGGGTGCTGTCTCCGGCCAAGCAGCGGTACTAAGTTACGCGCCGGGAATTGTTGGGCATTGTGGTTTTCGTGCAGCAATACCAGCCTTATCTGTACGGCAGACATTTCGAGGTGCGCTCCGACCACGCAGCGCTCCAATACGTGCTGCGTGTGGATCAGCCCTCGGGCCAATTATCACATGGGCTTGAAATCCTCCAGGATTTTTTGTTCCATGTTACGTATCGCAAAGGTTCTCGTCACACAAACGCTGACGCCCTGTCGCGATTGCGTGCGGCGGGTGTGCATGATTTTCAGGTTCCGGTCATTGTAGACCGGCTGAGTCAACCTCCCCCCCCCCCTCTCGTTGCGTCCACTGCAGACACGATGGACGGGTTGGGCGACGTCCCGGCCGCGCCGAATGCGGTAATCGGGTTGGACTACGAGGAAGATGCGTCCTTGCTTAAATTACAACGACGAGTCAGGGAGGCCACCAGTGAGGCGGCTACACGTGGTGTCACCTCGGTTGTCCTGCGGGGCGGGCTGCTCATGCACTGGGACGGTGGATTACACCGGTACGCTATTGTTGTCCCTACCACTCTGCGTGGCGCGGTTGTTTGGGCCGTACATAAACGTCTGTTACGTCTGGGGGTACAAAAAACCCTGGCTGCGCTCAAATTGGATTTTTATTGGCCGGCCATGGGCCCGGACATTCAAAATTTGCTTAAATGTTGCGTACAATGTGCATGGCGGAAGCCACCGGCGAAATCTTGTTGCCCTCCGCTGCCATCCATTCAGGTGTCGCGAATCAACGAGCTGGATGCCCTCGATGTTCTCGGTCCGTTTCCAACTTCGGCGCGAGGCAACAAATGCTTGCTCGTTGGTGTTGAGTATTTTTCACGCTGGCCTATGGCCTGGCCGCTCCCGAATCAACAGGCTGTAGCTGTGACCGAGGCGTTCCTTAATGTCCTGGATAAGGGTGCCCCCGAGCGCCTTTTGACTGATCAAGGTAAAAAAAAAAATTTGAAACTGCTGCATGAGGTTTATGATTTGCTGGGGACAAAGAAGGTACGCACGTCACCATACTATCCGCAGATGGATGGCATGATCGAATGCCTGAATAGAACGCTGGCCTCCATGTCGAATCACCTCATCAGAAAATCGCAGCTGAATTGGGACTTGCATGTACCTGCGGTTCCATCGACGTACAGTTGCAGGCCGCGCCGGCCGTGAAAGTGTAAAAAAATTCAGATTCCGTTTGTGTCACTCCTGAAAAGCTCTCTCCGAAGCGCGGGAAGCTTCCAGGGTCAACTCCCGAGCCAGACAGTTGGCTAACGAGTGGCTGAAGGGGGCTCGTGTTTTTTTCTGTGCGATTGGTCGCCGGGCGATTGGGCCTGGTTGCATTGTCCGCAGGTGCCCGTGGGCACTTCCCCTAAATTGCTGCAACTCTGGAGGGGGCCGGTTGATGTTCGGGTCGTGCGTCCACAATGTGTCCAAATTCGGCTTGGTAAGCAGAGTTGGTTTGTTCATCCCTCTCGTTTGAAGCCGTTTATTGCGCCATGTGAATTTGTTTAATCTCCATATCGCAGGGACCGAGTGTCGGGTGTGCCTGACGAGCTGAGGTGTACTCTTTGGTTCTATTCGGTAAAGTCACGTAGGTAAAAAATAAAACAACAAAAATCACGACGTTTCAGCCACAACACAAGCGGCCGTCATCAGGCGAAGGGACCAGACTGTCTCGAAGACTGCGCTGGAGTGAAACACAGCCTAGCTCAGACCACAGCCTTTAAGCTGTGTGAGAGGGATTAAGGTGCCTTGACAAAGGAATTAGCATAAAACATTTGCATTTTAATAGGCAGACTTAGCATGATGAAAGGTAGGGAGGGGGTCGACCTGTGCAGGCTGGCGAGGTGGCACGGCAGCGTCCACATGCTGGTGGTGTGAAAAGGGGATTTTAAGCTGCGAAAGTTTGGGGTACCAATACTTGAAAAATTTGCATTTTAATAGGTGGACTTAGCATGATGAAAGGTAGGGAGGGGGTCGACCTGTGCAGGCTGGCGAGGTGACACGGCAGAGTCCACATGCTGGTGGTGTGAAAAGGGGATTTTAAGCTGCGAAAGTTTGGGGTACCACTACTAGAAAATATACTGTACCATTGAAAATTTAGTTTCATGTTTGGTTCGATTTAGAACATCTTTCCAATGGTTGCGTAATTTGAAACCATCTCGGTTGAAATTGTGTCTGTGTTTGTAGATCTGAATTGCCTCGTGAACAAATCTCTGATAAAAACCCGTGGGTTTGCAAAGAACCTTGGTATCGGAGAAAATTATATCGTGATCACCCACAGCGTTGTAACAGTGATCAGCTACGGCTGAGGTGTGCTTCTGCTGACGCCGGTCCTCAGGAGAGTGTTTCTGTCCCGTCCCCAGGCGCTGCGCGATTGATGCCTCGCACGTGGCCGCTCGTGTCGGCCTCGCGTGCTCCAGTCGTGGAAGGTCGGACGGTCCAGCCTACTGCTCTTTGTGAGGAGCCGGCTTCGTCCGATCGATTGCTCATTTCCCCCGGGTCGTCCAGGGCGGACGAGCCAAACCCCCCTGGAGGCCCGGCATCGCGGACTCGCTCAATGACACGGTTTGCATAATCCCCGCACGTTGCACACTCCCACGCCGTCATTGGTTGTCGCGCTCGCATGAGTCATGGCGAGTAATTGGCTGATCCCGCTTGCCAATGAGCTCACGAGCATTGTTACGCGTTGTGGGTGGTAGATGCTAATTGCGAGGGCTCTGCATGTCGCGATTGTTGTTGTTCTGCATTCTTATTGTTAGCCAGTGTATCATTGTACAGGTGAGTTTAGGTATTTATTGGTAGTTTTGTTATTGTTGGAGCCCACGTGCATTACATTGTATATATATTTGTCGTTGCTTCGTTTAGGGAAAGTTGACAGCCGGGACGGCTGAGTGCTACGGGGGGGTGGGGGGTGATGTAGTGATGTAGTGACTGGGAATGTTACTGCGTGGTGCCGGGCCTCAGAGGCCACGGCGGGATGCCTACTGTTGTGTGTACACCCCGGACACGGGGTGTAGTACCAGCCCTAGTGGGGGCCTGGGTGAGCACTGGTTAAGCGCGGTGGCACCATGCAGAGCATGCATTGCAGGCTCCCGTTGAAAGAGCGAGAGAGTGTCAGCAGCTGGGGTTACGTTGGGGGCATGATACTCTGGCTGACCTGGGGACACGTGACCCGATGATACTGGAGGGGGACCACCGGTGGAGGGGGCCCAATGGGTGGTCACATGGTCCGAGAAGAACTCTCAAGAGCCTTAGGGCAAGGGCGAGAGAGATCGAGAAGGCGGGCGGGGCAAGAGGCGGAGCCAGCCCCAGCCCAGCCTGATATGAAGGGGGCCCTGTGAGGGGCTCGGGGTTCTTACGGTTGGAGAGGCAGGAGATCCACGTCAAGCTTGAAGAAGCCTCCAGCCACGCGGTCTCGGACCCAGCTTGTGGTCTGGACCGGGATAGTGGAACCGTGTCTAGTTCCGCCGTAGCGTGGTTAGTTGGGTGATCACCATCCGAGAGTTTGTTGTGCTAAGAGTTTCATAAAACGTGTTGCTCCCAAGACGTCTGCGACTCGGACTCCCTACAACTACAAAGACACCGACCAACACAAATATGAACCTACCCACACACCCACCCCATGCACTCCACGCACCCCATTTACCGTAACAGCAACATAGCATGAATCGAAAACGGCAGCACAATCCGCAATTGCAAGACATGACACACTGTTGTAAATGTTCTTAATGTGTTTATTTAAGAAAATATTTAAATACAGTGCACATCAACAACAGTAGCATTTCTAATCACATTTATCCTCACTGCTAACGGATGGCCCTGGGATTCGCCGCACGTCTGGCTTGGTCTGCGTCTCCACCACCACCAGGCCCTCCCTCCAACTCCCACAGCCCCGGGGCAGCCTGCCCCTTCCATGTCCTGGACACCGTGGCCAGGTCATCGTCTGAGGACCGCCTAGATGAAAACCAGCATGGAAGGGTCCGGGATGGGGCTGGCTACGGTTCTGGGCTAGTCCAATGTGTATGTTAGGCGTGCGTGTGGGGTGTGTGTGTGTGGGGGTATGCGTGTAGGTGTGCAGGGTATGTGCGGGGTTCGCGTGGGCGGGCGGGGTGCTCGTGTTTGTGTGCGGAGTGGCGTGTGTGGCGCATGGCGCGTGTGTGGTGCATGGCGCTTGTCTGTGTGTGTGGGGGCACGTGTGTGTATGGGATGTGTGGAACAGTAGCGCAACGTTTAGCGTGCTGTGCTGCGAACCCGGCGACCCGAGTTCGATTCCCACTCACGGCCAACAACAGTGCCGATTATCCGAACCGGTGCTGGGCCTCTGCTAGGTCAACTTGGCCTCAAATGAGTAGCCAGTGCGGTCTGTAAACATCGTCACTTGGGAGGCAAAGGCGGCCGGCTATGGTACTGGCCACCCACCCCTCCAGCGCCGTGACGGCCTTCATAGCTGCTTGCTAACAGCACTTTGCCCAACAGTCTGGTAAGGCGAAACGGGGGATCTTTGTAGGGTGTATATTTGTGTGTGTGTGGGGGGTGGGTGGTGTGTGGGAAGTGTGGGGTGTGTGGGGGACAATGTTAAATGTGAGCAGGTCTCGTGGTCGTGGTTGTTCCTCCAGTCCTGCCCAGCCAACTGATGTCCAGCCTCCTGCCAGTCCAGCCGTGGTCCCCCAACCCCCCCCCCCACCCTAATCTTTGGGAGCCGCCGTGCCACAGAGGAGCACGCGGTGGAGGAACGCACGGAGCGACTTCCTCCACTTACTCTTCCCCTTCTTCTGCAGTGCTGGCTTCACCGCCTCCAGGTCCTCCTCAACCAGCTCCTCCTCTGCCTCCATAACCTCGATCTCCTCTGTCTCCTCCACCATCGCCACCTGCTGCACTTGCCCATCCTGCCCCTCTTTTGCCATCTCCCCCTCTTCATCCATACTCGACTCTTCCTGCATAGCCCACTCGTCGGCCGTCTGCCATTCTTCCTCTGTATCACACTCTTCATCCGTATCCCACTCTTCCTCTGTTTCCCAATCTTCATCTGTATCCCACTCTTGCATGATTGGGTCCTTGGCGGCGGTGGTGGTGGTGGCGTTGAAGATGGCAGAATCCTTCAGGATGTCACAACAGAGACGCTCACCTCGTCGTCGATTCGCTCTCCAAATGCTTCTGCTGCTGCCTCGTTCGCATTTATATAGACTGTGAGCGGAAGCGTGGCTCTGACGTCGCGGATGTGACGTTACTACCACGAGGCTCCGCCCCCACGCGCCCGGCTGGTATATGACGTGGTTGAGTGCTGGTGGTGCACGTGACGCACGTGACCGGAAACAGCGGGGGCCTGGATTCTGCCTCCAGACGCCGTGGTCTACACTGCGCGGGTGAGAGATCGATTGAGTGGGTGAGTGTGAGTGAGTGAGGGTGAGTGGGTAAGAGATTGTGTGGGTGGGTGAGTGAGTGTGAGTGAGTGAGGGTGAGTGGGTAAGAGATTGAGTGGGTGAGTGAGTGGGTGAGTGATTGTGTGGGTGTGAGGGTGTGAGAGTGAGTGGGTAAGAGATTGAGTGGGTGAGTGAGTGTGTGGGTGTGAGGGTGAGTGGGTAAGAGATTGAGTGGGTGGGTGGGTGAGTGTGAGGGTGAGTGGGTAATAAATTGATTTGGTGGATGAGTGGGTAAGAGATTGAGTGGGTGGGTGAGTGAGTGAGGGTGAGTGGGTGAGAGATTGAGTGGGTGAGAGATTGAGTGGAATGAGAGATTGAGTGGGTGAGTGGGTAAGAGATTGAGTGGGTGAGAGATTGAGTGGGTGAGAGATTGAGTGGGTGGGTGAGTGGGTAAGAGATTGAGTGGGTGGGTGAGTGGGTAAGAGATTGAGTGGGTGGGTGAGTGAGTGGGTGGGTGAGTGGAGTTGGTACGTTTTCTACCTGGCCTACACAGCGTGGGCGAGTGCGGAGTTCTGTTCTCAAGAGAAAGTGTGGCGTCTATGTGTGCGTGTTGTGTAGCTGTGTGTACGCAGTGTTTCTGGTCTCCAATTATTCCACATTATGCTGCAGAAATTAAACATTTGCGCCCTCGCTCTGTGCTGTCTTTGATGTCGCCGTTCCTGCGGCGAGGACTGAAGAGAGGCCTTTAGGCCTGGCATACGCCTAGGCCTCAGGCTTCATATTGGTTAATCGTTATTTTTGTATAATTGGAATGATTAATTAACTTGTATTTCATAAATTACATTTAAAACGTATAAACACAATCTAATTGGTTTATGGTGGTGGTAGTAGTGTGATTGTGAGTTACTGTGCGTGTAGCTTATTGTGTCATGGATTGGTCTATGTGCACCTAGCCTGGCATGGGTATTTGTTTTTTATTACACACAAATATACGAAGATATTGTACATTTGTGCGTGTCTATTATGTGTGTCTGTGTCAGTTTTCGAATCTATGTCCGTAGCTGTGTGTGTGTTTATCTATGATGGGTGGTGATGATGATGGGTGGTGGTGTTGATAGGTGGTGGTGATGATAATTTATGATGGGTGGTGATGATGATGGGTGGTAGTGATTAGGATGGGTGGTAGTGATGATGGATGGTGGTGTTGATGATAATGGGTAGTAGTGATGATGGGTGGTAGTGATGATGATGGGTGGTGATGATGGATGGTGGTGATGATGATGATGGGTGGTGATGATGATGATGGGTGGTGGTGATGATGATTTATGATGGGTGGTGGTGATGATGATGGGTGGTGGTGATGATGATGGGTGGTAGTGATTATGATGGGTGGTAGTGATTATGATGGGTGGTGGTGGTGATGATGGGTGGTGGTGATTATGATGATGTTTATGGGTGGTGGTGATGATGATGATGGGTGGTAGTGATTATGATGGGTGGTAGTGATTATGATGGGTGGTAGTGATTATGATGGGTGGTAGTGATGATGATGGGTGGTGGTGGTGATGATGGGTGGTGGTGATTATGATGTTAATGGGTGGTGATGATGATGGGTGGTAGTGATTATGATGGGTTGTAGTGGTGATGGTGATTGATGGTGGTGATGATGATGGGTGGTGATGATGGTGGGTGGTGATGATGGTGGGTGGTGATGATGATGGGTGGTGATGATGATGATGGGTGGTGATGATGATGGGTGGTGATGATGATGGGTGATGATGATGGGTGATGATGATGGGTGATGATGAGTGGTGTTGATGGGTGGTGGTGGTGATGATGATGGGTGGTGGTGATGATGGGTGGTGGTGATGGTGGGTGGTGATAGTGATAATGGCTGATGATGGTGATGATGATGGCTGGTGGTGATGATGATTTATGATGGTGATGATGATGGGTAGTGGTCATGACGATGGGTGGTGGTGATGATGGGGGGTGGTGGTGGTGATGATGGGGGGTGGTGGTGGTGATGATGGGGGGTGGTGGTGATGATGATGGGTGGTGGTGATGATGATTTATGATGGGTGGTGGTGATGATGTTGGGTGGTGGTGATGGGTGGTGGTGATGATGATGATGGGTGGTGGTGATGATGATGGGTGGTGGTGATGATGATGGGTGGTGGTGATGATGATGATGGGTGGTGGTGATGACGATGATGGGTGGTGGTGATGACGATGGGTGGTGGCGATGATGGGGGGTGGTGGCGATGATGATGGTTGGTGGTGGTGAAGATGATGGGTGGTGGTGATGATGATGAAGGGTGGTGGTGATGATGATGGGTGGTAGTGATGATGATGGGTGGTAGTAATGGTGATGGGTGGTAGTGATGATGGGTGGTAGTAATGATGATGGGTGGTAGTAATGATGATGGGTGGTGATGATGGGTGGTGATGATGGATGGTGGTGATGATAATGGGTGGTGATGATGGATGGTGGTGATGATAATGGGTGGCGATGATGATGATGGGTGGTGGTGATGATGATGGGTAGTAGTGATGATGGGTGGTAGTGATTATGATGGGTGGTGATGATAGGTGGTGGTGATGGGTGGTGGTGATGATGATGGGTGGTGGTGATGATGATTTATGATGGGTGGTGGTGATGATGATGATGGGTGGTGTTGGTGGTTATGGGTGGCAATGTTGATGGGTGGTGTTGAGTGGTGGTGGTGGTGATGATGATAAGTTGTGGGGATTATGGGTGGTTGTTTGCTATGATGATGATATGTGATTCTGGACATACAATACCCTGGTGTCTACAAACTAAGTTGCCTCTGTGGTAGTAGTTACATTGGAGAAACCAAACGCCATGTCTCGGACCGCATTCGTGAACACAAAGCAGACCTTAAACACGGTAGGACCAACACCTCGGCCGTGGCAGATCATTGTTATAATTCAGTAGGCTCACATGCCATTGACTTTTCCAAGACAGAGGTTCTTTGTAAGCCATCTGGCTACCATGAGGGATTCGTTCATGAGGCTATCCACATATACAAGCACAGAGACAATTTCAACCGAGAAGATGGATTCTGGCTTAGCAATCATTGGAAAGATTTGATAAACCATTTCAGGTCTTAATTGATTGTTCACGCTTACAGTGGCTTTCAGACAGCATACATTAAAGTTTTTGTCTCCCCCCTCTTTTCAGAAAATAGATGGACTAGTCCTTCTAAATAAACTGCGAAATCGCTGCGCGTGGCGCTAACGTTTTTTAAATAAATAAATATACCGTTTAAAAATACATTTATGCAAACCGACACACCTGATGACGACCGTTTGTGTTATGGTTGAAACGTTGTGAGAATTTTTATTGTTTTATATATGTTTTATTATATTATTGTTTCCCTTCAACGTGACTTTACCGAAAGAACTAAGAATATGAATTACTGCAGTCACGTAAGCTTTCAATCAAAATTTAACCGCCTCTACAGGGAGGGTTTTCACATAACTTTAAGATCCTTCAACAAACTCCGGGATAAGAAGGCTCAGCTGATCGAGTCTCTCACCTTTCTGAAGAGATGCCGCGACTCTGGGGTAATACCAATCGCATTTACACTGACCTCTGCTGCTGTAACTTCTTCTAATGCGAAACGAATTCTTTTCAAAACTAGCTTAGCTCTTATCTCAGAAAAAATCAGACTTATACGCACCGAA